GCTCCTGCTGCAACTTGAACGTGAAGGAAAGTTCACAATCAGGAGGATTCGATCCGATGGTGGAACCGAGTTCGTGAACTCAGCAAGAAAAGAGCATCGTCTTTCAGACATCAAATACATACAGCCCAGAAGAAAACGGGGCGGCAGAGCGGGGTCACCAAAGCAAACTAGACAGAGTTCGCTGTTCGCTCAAAGATGCTGACATGGAGAGTAGATGGTGGTCAGAAGCCTTGACCTATATGACCTATGTTCAAAACTTCTGCAAGGAAAAGAGCATCGTCTTTCAGACATCAAATACATACAGCCCAGAAGAAAAAGGAGCGGCAGAGCGGGGTCACCAAAGCAAACTAGACAGAGTTCGCTCAAAGATGCTGACATGGAGAGTAGATGGTGGTCAGAAGCCTTGATCTATATGACCCATGTTCAAAACCGTCCCCCAATGAGTCGGTTTGTGTGGAAAGACACTCTACGAGATGGTGCATGGGAAACCACCCAACATTAGTGGCTTACCTGTGTGGGGTAGTATCTGCTTTGCCCACATACCGACTGCACTTCGCAAAGACAAGAAACTGTCTGCTAGAGCGCTTAAGTGCCGGTTCCTGGGTGTCTCAGAAGAAGCCAAGGGCTACAGACTATGGGATGTCTATAACAACAAACACATCGCTGCTCGAGATGTGCTGTTTGACACAACCAATGTAGCAAACATTGTCAATCGAGCCTTTGACCAGTCCAACCCGGAGGTCACAACTCAATTTGCTCTGCGAGAGATACCCGGAGCAGTGGGAGAACAGCAGACTGCATCTGAGCAGGAGACTGCTGAAGCAGTGGGAGTTGCACCTCCTACTGTGCCTCCAATTGAGCCCGCTGAAGCAGTGGGAGTATCCAAAAGAAAACGGAGCGCAGGGTTAGTGGAAGCGTCACAGCCTGTAGCGCGACCCCGTCGAGAGTCCAAACGACCAAAACGGTTCCAGGACTATCAGTGCTTCCAGGCAATCCTGGACAAAGCTAACGCGGAAGAGATCCTAGAAAACAAAGTTTCCATACCAAAAACTATCAGAGAAGCTCTGCGTGGACCCCATAGGGAGCAATGGAAACAAGCCCTAGAGTTAGAGTACGACTCTCTCATTGAGAACGGAGCCTGGAGATTGGTACCACTACCGCCTGGCCGAAAGGCTCTACCATGTCACTGGGTGCTCGTGGTGAAATACAACGCTGACGGTACTGTCGAGCGATTCAAAGCACGACTCGTTGCTCAAGGTAACTACCAAGAATTTGGAGTTGACTGTGACGAGGTATATGCACCGGTAGCAAGGTTTGAGTCCCTACGCTTGGTGCTGGCCATTGGGACTATACTGGACTGTCATATCCATCAAATGGATGTCCACACTGCGTTCCTAAACGGTACCATGGAAGGAGAACAGAAAATCTACATGAGACAACCTCAAGGGTTTGCGAAGCGAGGCCAAGAGCAGCTGGTCTGTGAACTTCTAAAGAGCATCTATCGGCTAAAGCAGGCCCCTCGCATCTGGTATAGAGCTCTTCATACCTTCTTGACATCGATGGGTTTTGCTCGTTGCCACAAAGAGTTTTGTATCTACGTGCAAAAAGTGGGAGATGAATGGTTTATTGTCGTGGTATATGTCGATGACCTCACTATTATGTCTCGTGACATGGGGCTCATCAACCGACTGAAAGTCGAGCTGTCAAAACGGTTTAAAATGAAAGATCTGGGAGACATTCACTACATCCTCAAGATGGAAGTGCGACGCAACAGAAAGCAGCGAGTGATGATGATCTCACAACGCAAGTATATCGCTGAGCTGATAGCTAAGTACAACATGGTGAACAGCTCACCTGTACTAACCCCACAAGTACCAGGGTTGACGCTAGAAGCTGAGACGAAGATGAATGCTAAGCAAATAGCAGCGCAGCCTTTCGACTACAGAGGCATAGTTGGATCACTCCAATACCTGGTTCGTGGAACACGACCTGACATTGCCAACGCGGTGAGAGAATTAAGCAAGTTCCTATCGTGCTACAATCGTACACACTGGGAAGCGGCTAGACGAGTCCTCAAATACTTGAAAGGGACGTCGACGTACGGTCTACTACTCGATGGAAAAGAGAGTGACGTGACTTATGAAGTGTACACAGACGCGAGCTTCGCGTGTCAACCAAAAGAACGCAAATCAGTCACCGGCTATGTGATTAAAATGGCTGGAACCAGCGTGTCGTGGTGTAGTAGCAAGCAAGGAGGTGTTTCTCTCTCTACTGCTGAGGCAGAACTCATCGCACTAAGCGAAGGTGCCAAGGAGAGCGAGTGGCTATGGCATCTTCTAGAAGAAATGGGATTTCCACAAAAGGGTCCGGTGCAAGTCTGGTGCGACAGCAATGCTGCCATCAGCATCGTCAGAAACCCAGGAAACCACAAAGCAAACAAGCACATCGAAATACGGTATCTATTTACGAGAGATCTGGTAGAACTTGGTCATCTCAAGATAACCTATTGTGCCACAACAGAGATGGCTGCCGATATTCTATTGCCAACCAAACAATTCCTAAAGCTGAGGCATAAGCTAGGAGTGATGGATCTAGAGCTTACCCCTAGTACTTAGTGGGAGTATTGGCCAGCATGGCGATCAGACGCCGAGTCGCCGAAGGCGGCGAAGAGTCGGTAGAGGCCAGACAGATGCTGGACAGAATTAAGTGTGTCAACACAATAAAAGACTTACTTTCATTAAAGTAATAGTAAGTACTAGAGTAAAACAGATCCTATGAGCACTTGGATAGAGTGCAGAGGCTGTCTGCCAACCAGTGCGATGAGGACTTGAAGGCAGAAGGGAGAGATGCCGTCCGAGGACGCAGTCCGAGGACGAGCTCACTTCTTCTTCTGCCTCAGACTGAGCACAAGTCTTGAGAATAGGTAGTTAAGAGTAAAAGTAAACAAACTGTTTTGAGAGCTACTCTACAGCGTTCATTCTAACACATAGGAAGTAGTAAGGTAAAGTCGAGAGCTATAAGGTATAGTCGAGGACGTGACATCACGTACCGATAAGCCGTAGTGATAAGTTTAGTCAGAAGAGTTTTGAGTTTACCTCGAAGCAAGGATAGATCGATGACTAAAAGGAAGCGCCAGCTACCTCGTGTGTGTCCGAGTTCGATACCCACTACACACTCAAGTTCATTATCTACTGTAAAGGTTATCACTACAGCTAGCTCTAATCATCGGTATTCTAGCAGTTAACATCATTAAACCCGGTAAAGTTGGTATCACAGAAGGAGACGACTACGAGAGCGATTCAACGTCAAGTTTTACTTTCGAGACGTGGATCGAGCACTTGACCCCTAAACGTGGGGTGAGATGATGGGTGGTTCAGGTTCCTCCGAGTTGCTCCAGGTTCTAGTCGCTGCTGTCCTCACAGGTGTAGCTACGTCGAAGCTCAAGAAGGAGCCCAAACGTCTGATCATCGACTTCTCTGCGCTGTTCTTAAGATGATGTTCAAGTTCGTTGACATTGTGATCTGGACAGCCCCCATTGGCGTCTGTTTCGCTATAGCTGATGCTATCGGATCGAACGGATTATATGCTCTAGGTAGTCTAAACGCACTAGTGGGCACAGTTTACGTGACGATCTTCCTCTTCATTGTTGTGGTTTCTGGCGCTGTCTGCTTCATGTTCAAGATCAACCCCGTTGAGTTCCTTGTTGCTATGAAGGAACCATTAATCATTGTCTACACGACGGCTACCTCGGAAGCTGCGTTGCCTAAGGTGTTTGATGCATTGGGGTGGCAACTCACATTTCGGGTTTTGTGGTTCCTTTTGGCTACTCTTTTAATCTGGATGGTTCGACTCTTTACTTGTCGCTCGCTGCTGTCTTCTGTGCTCAGGCGGCGGGTGTTCACAAATCGGTGGGTGAGCAGATCGTCATGGTTTTAATGCTTATGATCTCGTCCAAGGGTGTGGCTGGTGTTCGCTCGGCTTCAATCATTGTTCTGGCCTCGACCCTGGACCAGTTTGACATCCCGTCGTGGCCCGTGGCGCTCATTCTTGGCGTGGACTGGATCATGGACATGCTCCGTACCCTCACAAATGTCATGGGGAATTGTCTGGCGTCGGTTGTCATGGCCAAAATGGAGAACGAATTCCGTACGGAGGAATGGGAGCGTGAGCTTACGGTGTTGCAGGGAGAGGATAAGGTCAGCGTTATTGAGGGGAAGATAAGTCACTTGTCGGCTGTGTCGGCTCTTGAGGAAGGTCGTCACTAGGAAGCGTAAGACAGTGACAGGATTAGTGCTCCGATATCCCGAGAATTTTCACATTCTTTGTATTATTTATGATATTTACTTCTGATCTGACCTTACGCCGAGATGTCTAACCGATAACTTATTTGCAGAAGTTCTTTAATCCAATTATTTTGAACAGGCTGTAAGAATGATACATGTATTTTAAAGGAAAAGGATGATAAAACACTACTTTAACTAAATTGTGTTTTTAATTGTATTAGAACATTTGGAGGATGTACTATAATTCACTTATATCGTATTACTACCTTTCGAAACTTGTTTGCTTGAAATTTATTTTTCCGAGAAAAAAAGTCGTTTTATTATTTTCCTTTTTATTATACTTTTGTTTTAAGAAATCTAGTCTAAATACTACTGTATAAGAAAATGTTTGTTTCTTTTGCCATCACCAAACTGTTAAATTTTGGAAGGAAATAAAAAATGGGCGGCAGCCAAACACGAAGACCTCAGAAACGAATAATTTATCACACAAAAGAGAAAAGTGTACATGTATCTGTAACACAGTAGCTATTTTTACGATAATTTCATTCTTCTGTAGCTACGGTGATGTCATTCTTCTGTAGCTACGGAAGAATGACATTATTGTAAGATCGCGAAGTAGCAATTGACATGTAAAATACAAAGAAATTTGAACATTATTGGGATACTCTGTGCTTACAGTTGCGCTGCCAAACAGCACTTACAATCTGCACTTTAACCTTAGCGTCGGGCCTCCTCAATGGCGGAGACAGCCGACACGTGGCTCATCTTCTCGTCCATCACGCTCATCTTGTCGTCGTCGTGTCCATGGAGACTCTTCCATTCCTCCGTCCGGAACTCGTTCTCCATCTTGGCCATGATAACCGAGGCCAGACAGTTACCCATGACGTTCGTGAGGGTACGAAGCATGTCCATGATCCAATCCACACCGAGGATAAGAGCCACGGGCCACGACGGGATGTCGAACTGGTCGAGCGTCGAAGCGATGACGATAAGCGTGGCGGAACGCACACCAGCCACTCCCTTGGACGAGATCATGAGCATCAGAACCATGACGATCTGCTCACCGATCGACTTGTCAATGCCCGAAGCCTGAGCGCAGAAGACCGACGCCAGCGACAGGTAAAGGGTCGACCCGTCCAGGTTGAACGAGTAGCCGAACGGCACAACGAAACCCGAAACGTGGGTGGACACACCGTACTTCTCAAGGGCGTCAAACACCTTGGGCAGAGCGGCCTCGGACGTGGCCGTCGTGAAGGCGATAATAAGCGGCTCCTTCATAGCAACGAGGAACTCCATGATGTTGATCTTAAACAAAATGCAGACAGAGCCGAATACAACGACAATAAAGAGGAGGATTGTCACGTAAACCGTGGCAACGAGGGCGCCAAGACTGCCAAGAGCCGACAGACCGTTCGATCCGATCGCGTCAGCAATAGCAAAGCACACACCAATGGGGGCAGTCCAGATGACAATGTCAACAAACTTGAACATCATTTCGAGGACAGCACGGGAGAAGTCGATGATCAGGCGCTTGGGCTCCTCCTTGAGCTGAGACGTGGCGACACCCGTCAGAATGGCCGCGACGAGCACCTGAAGCAGCTCGGATGAGCCCGAGCCGCCCATCATCTCACCCCATGTCTTAGGGGTCAGGTGGCTGATCCACTTCTCGAAAGTGAGGCTCGACTCTGACTCGCTCTCGAAGTCCTCGCCCTGCGATAGACCAACGTTGCCAGGCTTGACGATGTTGACAGCGAAGAGTCCGAGAATGAGGGCGATCGTGGTGACGACCTCAAAGTAGATGATGGACTTGATAGCCAAGCGACCGAGCTGCTTCATGTCCTTTTGGTCGGCGATACCGACAACCAGCGACGAGAACACGAGCGGGAACACGATGAACTGCACGGTACGCAGGAAAATGTTCTTCATGGGCGCAGCCTTCTCGGAGAAGTCGGGGGCAAACTGGCCCATTAGGATTCCGATAGCCATACCAGCCAGAATCCAGAAGGTCAGCGACGTCAGGGTCTTGCGCAGGAACGACTTTTTCTCGGGGGCCTGTGGCTCCATGGCCTGATAATCGTTGATGTTAATGGCCATCGCGGAATTTGCTTGAGGGTGGCTGGCTGGGTGGAGAACTGCGACCGACGAGGCAAATTGAGGAATGAACAGAGACATTTCAACTCTCGGCGAGGGGATTTCTAAAACGGAGGCCCGCTCTGCCGACTTCACCTGATCGTTTACCCATCTACATGTACATGTACCACAAGCAAGTGCTGCTCCGTATCTCGCGTGACACCGGCATCGTCGATCAAACTACTGTACGACGGTGCCGATTGCCGTCCCTCCTCAAATCTCGATAGTTTCTCCACAATTGTTTGATCTTACGTCTAAGTTACACCAATTTTTGGCTTGCTTTTAGTATGTCGTAGGTTTATGCTCAAAAATTAAAAAAAAACTGAGTGGCGCATCCCCTCAGGATCGCTGGTTCACATTGCACCGGATTCCAAAAAAGGTCAATATCCGCAAAAAAGGTGCGCGAAAAGCGGCAACCGCCTGATAGAACGCCACGCACCGCACACTTGCGAGCATCCCATCGCTACAGTACCAAACTGACCATGTGGAGCGTTGCAAACCAGATCTGTTGGACTGATACAACATTACGTATTCCCACTGGCACCCGGATGCCGGATGGCAACACTCACTCCTGTTGGTGATGGATGCACCAATATACGTGACGAGGTGAAACTCTTGAGCTAAGTTACATGTAGATTACTCTGCCGTGGTGCATGTATCATGGTGATTCCAAAGCATACATGTACACGAGTCCCTTTTTGTTCATGTGCGTGTACAGTAATAGCGGTGCTGGACGTCCAAACATTGATATGTTGGTTTTAACGATCGACAGAAAAGAGCTAAGAGCCAACACCGGATTTGCGAAAAAGGGCGTGTTGAAGTGCTTAACGGCCTTGAAGCTACCACGTGCATCGTTGTGGTAGAAAGCAGGTTGGTACTATTTTACTGTAGCAAGTTTTATCTCACCTTGGTCCAAGTTGATTCCCCACCGAGTTTACACATTTCATTGTGCGATTTACAGCATGCTGTGACATACCCAAAGATTAATTTGTTCATGAAGTTTTAGTATTTTCGGGATCTTCTACAATCATTACCGGAGCATCACCCTGTCAGAAGAGCGGGTCACAATGCACACAGGACACACCTGCCCCCCCCATAAATAAAAGGGTACTCATTGAAGTTGGGTGTCAGAGCAAGGGAACAGCAACTACATGTACATACGTGTATACATGTATACAAGTATTGTTTACATGTTAATTTCGTATCTGTTGCTTACAGCTCTTGGCAAATTCAGTGACAGTAACTATTGTACGCGTCACAAGTCCTTGGACCAAAATGTAGCCATCTGTTATGAAGATTGAGCATCCCAAATCCTATAGCAACAGTTAGATATAAGGGGTAAAATCGGGCGTAGATTTCAAAAATGTGGTCAGAATTAGCTGATTCAGTCGTTTTTGCGCTACAAGACTATTTTTAAACTCTTTCCAGATGCCCCAGATTTACGGGAAACGGGTTGTCTTTGAGGCGGTCATTTGATTAGGCAATTCCCAAAACCACATGAATTTGCGCAAGAAAGTACAAGAAAGTACGCAACTGAACAGCAGCAAATCCGATTACGATTGTAACGATTTGAGTACAAGGAAAAAACAAATATTTATTTATACAGGCACCTTATCCTTCGCTCTGCTGGGTCGTAATCACGCTTCCTTCCGCGTTGATTTCACATATTAAATAATAGAGGTTAGCGTTAATAAGCTGATAAGGAACATGCACCGCTAAATGGCTGATGTGCACCTCAAACTTGGTCTCATTGTCGGCTCTGTAGGTGCTCGTCACAGTCGTAACAGTGCCGTGTGCTATCTGTAGACACTCAGCAACCAGGTCCCGGGTTCGCTGCCCTCTGAAGAGGCCATCTTCCTTAGCTTTGAGCATGAAGTCTAAGCACCGTACTACGTAATCCTTCTGGCCTCTTGCTGCGAGGTGCTTGGCTCAGACATGTTAGTAAGGACGCAAATAGCTCACTAGATGCACGAGATGCTAAGGAACATTTACGTAGGCTCCTTGTTCTATTTTGGTGCCAGCTCGAGAAGTTTCGCCTTTTCAAATGGCATGTTAAAATAATCTGGTCCAACGTTCATTGACGAGTACAATAGCAGAGCAAATGGAACGCAAATCTCAGACATTTGTGCTAAAACAAATTAAAACTTTCACCTTTAAAATAGTATATATATTGTTAATGTGGTCTTTTAAGTATTGTACTTCAGTCGCGACATGTATTTACGTATGTAGTGACACTGGCGGGCTTACTTTATCCTTTTTATGCTATCTACTAAGTATTAATAAGTGCTCATCTGGTGCAAACCATGCTCGCATTTCGCGACAAGCTTAGGCTAACAAAAGGAATTTATAATAGGCTCATAGTTCACAATGTCTGTACAGTGGTGTAAAAAGATTTGCGTCGCGATCATCGGCGACAGATTGCGCGAGTTTGGCCTGAAATCTAGAAAATACTTAATAGTTTTACTTTCAATCTTGTTTGTGGGAGCACGGTGCTTCAGCATTTGGCCATGAGCGAGCACCTTGTCGGGCATATCTGTTTCTATTAAAAGCTCCGCCTCTCTTCGCATCACCCCTTGCCTTTGATGCACTCCGCACCATGAACTGTACTTATGTGCATGCAGTTGTCTTAAGCGATTGCGAGGTGGATACAGTACGATTATGCTTGCCTGCACGGTTTTGGTGTGTGAAGCAGAAGATTACTGTATATTTTTGCTAATACTGTATGTAGTTTTAAACTTCATATTATGTAAGTAATAATACTAACCTTATTTGCACTTTTACTTAAATTTAAAATTTGCACTTAATCGGTGGCAGCCGGCAGCATACATGTATGCTGCCTACGTTTACATGTAAGTGGCTTACCAAAAATACACCGCCACAGTTAATCTGTGGCGGTGTATACTATTTATACATTATACACTTCAAGTACTGCTGTACATGTACACGTATACTTTATTAAATACTGTACAATCCTGCGTTTCATTGTGTAGGATCAACTTGACCCAAAAGCTTTGACGATGGCCTCTGAAGTTCAGAGTCTGAACTTCAAATTGACGTGATGCGCCAGTCAATGTCTTTTTCTACATTCTACCGTACATTTACAGCGGATACGCTACGAATTACGCAGGCTCGGTACTTCCTTCAAGGAACAGTAAGGTACATTACCTTGACCTGATTACATTACAGTAACTCCCGTACGAGTTTGGCTGTTGAGGGATTAATGTAAGGAGGAATACCGGGACTGTGGTAGCAATCTAAACGATCTGTGCAATGTGACGCGAAACGTTTACCCACAGGTTCTGAGTTTGTATATAACTTTGATAAGCTGTCGTGCACTGTTATTACATGTATAAGTTAAAAATAAACAGGGGATAGGCGATGTGGTACAGCTGTACCCCCAGACCACCTAACCTCTTCAAACTATTAATAAACCAAACTTTATTTGGGGTTATTAAAAAAACTACATGTGCAGTTACATGTCAAATACCTATAACTGACAGTAAGTGCCTTTAGTAAAGAGCGCGAAAGCGCGGCTTTGTACACGCCGGATTGGTGGCACCAATCCAGCACCATATTGGTGCCCATAAATCGCGATTCGTTTTTAGGTTCGAAAGCATCTTTTCGTTTTGACGCAGTCTCAAAGATACTACATGTTGTCATGTTGCGGTAACAAGCTATTACCGGTATGGAAAGAAATATCCATCCTGGCATAATGTGCTGTTCCGGCTGCAATGGCTCTTGCTGCTGATACCGAAATAACATCAGAATTCGCAAAGAGTCTAATCTTGTTTTTATCAAGCTTGGTCTCTTGAAAACGTCAAGACCCGGTGCTATGATAATGGCCCTTCTTCCACAAGAATGCGACCTATGACAACTCTAAATAGAATAAAAACACAGCTGAACCCTTGTAAGAACACCCACATTACAGTAGTAATCATAGTCAAGCAGCACTAGCGATAGCAGTATATTCAATCAGGTTTTGGCTCGTACTTACGCTAAGCACATGCTAAAGTAGCGCAGTCGTAGATAAGGGACTTGCACAAAGAGTTCATCACCCAAGGAATACCATCGAAGGATATCTTTAGAGCTACTAGACAACACAGTCACCAGCTTTCAGTGTCCTGCTGAACACAGTACGCGCACTATTAGAATGCGAGCTTGGTGGTGAAAGGTTGCAGCGGCTTAACACCTTCTCTGGGTATTTTGTCTGTTTTTTTGCGTAGTACCCGGTTCCCTGGCGTGGATCGAAGAGACCCAGCACGGGGTGCATTACGACCCTCAAGTTGAGCACGGAGGTCTCGCAGAGGAGCGGTTACACGCACGGAAGTGTACCCGAGAACATCACGCTCAGAAAAGCGCAGTTTCAGTTGGAACTGCGCAAGGAATTCCCGCTTCCATAGCGTCACTATGGAGGCGATCGATGAGATGACGCCTCAAAATGTCCCGAAGCGCTGGCGTGCTGCGACAATGCGCTCGTGGTAGCCTCTCGCATTGTTGTTGAAGCTCACAGCAATGCGTTCCAAGATTGACAAAGTACCACCCACTCGGGCACTTTGCTTTTGCGCGCAGTCTTCTTCGACGCATTCCATCGGAGCCCATGGAAGAATCCGATGTAGTAGTCGCGTCTTTGATCAGCTAACGAATCAAAGTGCATGTCGACGGCATCAGCGTCACAATTGATGGCGCTGCACACGTACAGTCCTATCGGGTTCGGCGGCGATGTCGCGCCGAGCCTGTCAGCAATTTCAGATGCAGCTGGCATCCAGGGAGCGCGTACTGCAGGTGAAGTACGCGGAGCAGAAGAAGGCACCGACACAGGTAGCTGCGCATCTTCTTCATTATGCGGACGCTTCGATCTTGGAGCGTTCGGAACATCGTCATGACCTCGCCGCGACCCAGCAGGGGGGGTCGGGCGTTGGCTCGGTCGACTTAGTGTCAACAGCTGAAGACGAGGAGTCCTCATCTTCAATGGGAACGTCTTCAACGTCAGACCCATACTCAATGGGTATGCCTCCGTCAGTAGACTGACGAGCCCTCCAAGA